ATGAAATATTATCTTACTGACCCCAATGTTTTGAACAGTAGTGTATAATATTAATGTTATTATTAATATTTCAGGAATTTAACATTAACAACTAATTTGCATGTCCATGGTTCTCTGATGTCAGTTAATCTTTAGTTTGGGAAACCCTGGTCTTTCTAAACAAACAAATATGTGTGCTAGAACGTACAAATACCTATGAATTGTCGAGATCACCCTGGAATATTTTATGTCAAAATAATGATATTAATATTTAGTCACATATCCAGTTCAATTCCAGTTTATTAATAGATGTTTTAATTTTCTGTCAGGCTGGAGAGGACTGCTTTGGCACAGATGAGTCAACTTTCAGCTTCATTCTGGCCACCAGGAACTACTTACAACTGCAGGTCACATTCAAAGCTTATGAAGCCGTAAGTTTGTTCTGTTCTTAGAGCTTAAGACAGTACTATATGTATTATATGTATAATACGTTGTGTTAGTTCATGTGTAACCGCTCTGGATTACTTTTAGATTGTTGTTCTCCAAGTTCTCCAACAGATTTCTGGAACAGAGATTTTGGATGCAATCGATAAGGAAATCTCTGGAACTCTGAAGGACTGCTACACTGCACTCGGTTTGTATTAAACACAGGCTTTGTCCAAAAAAAAACAGCAAATGCAGATTTTTGTTTTATTTTTTCGCATATGCAAATACAGAGTTCTGGCATGAAACTCTAGATGGCGCAGTCCGATAGGTCTAACTCAATCTGACCTAATGACATCATTATCACATGGCACAGCTGATTGGTTCTCTCCTGTATCGGTAGCCAATGAGCTCGCTGCTCAACATTCAAATAAATGACTACTGCTTGCCGTAGCAGTTGCAGCTTGCTTCAGAAAGCCTCCACCTTCCCCAGCTCCACCTGTATAGATCTGCTACGAGGTGTTTCATGTATGTTATATTTGCAGCAGCAGCAATATTTCTTACATGCTCACAGCAGCATGTTGTGGATGTATTGGCAGTAGCAAGTCTTGGTACTTGCTCTGCCGCAGCAGCAGCGGCAGCGTAGCAGATCTATTCCGCCAAGACCAAATACATTAACATTGTCATGTACATTACCATGCTAATCCCTCCGAGAGTTGTTATGACAGAACTATTATTTTTTGTAGTATGAACAACAAAGAAATTACATGACATCTAAGTAAAAGTAAAGTAAAAACTATGATGATGCGGTGGTCTCTAGACCTTCTAGTGTCTCTGGATTCACCCATTTTCATTGAGACTAGTTCACCCTCAGGCCATCCAAGATGTAGATTAATTTTGTTTTTCATTAGTACAGATTTGTTCACCAATGGATCCTCTGCAGTGAATGGCTGCCGTCAGAATGAGAGTCCAAACAGCTGATAAAAACATCACAATAACCCACAAGTAATCCACACCACTCCATTCCAGTGAAAAGCTGCATGTTTGTAAGAAACAAATACATCATTAAAGCATTTTAACTTAAAACCGTCGCTTCAGGTAAAAAATACCAGACCATAATCCATATTAATGCTTCCTACAGTGAAATAGTCCATCCTACAACATATTTGTTTAGAAATGTTTTGGATGGTTTTCGCTCGTAAACAGTGCTTGATCTGTGCGTACTGTATTTTCTTCCTGATTCAGACAAGATAACTTTTTCACTGGAGAAAGTAATATTATGGATAGAGGACTTTTAGCCAGAAAAGCATCTTGATGGATTTGTTGGTTATAAACACACAGCTTTTCACTTCACAAGACATTAATTAATGGATTGAAGTTGTGTGGATTACTTTTGTTTTATTGGACTCTCATTCTGACGGCACCCATTCACTGCACAGGATCCATTGGTGAGCAAGTGATGCAATGCTAAATTCCTTTAATCTGTTGATGAAGAGTCAAACTCATCTACATCTTGAATGGCCCGATTTTTCAGCATATTTTCATTTTTGGGTGAACTATTCCTTCAAGTCATTACTGTATACAAACACAGATTGGGTGCATTGTGAACAAAGCCAAAATGCCTTGGAGTCTCTAATATTAGAGGTCCCAGTTTTGATTATTTGTATAGTAATGCTACGGTGCACACTGGTTAACACTTCCCATCTAACCCATAGTGAGGTGTGCTAAGAACCCTCAGCTATACTTTGCCCGGAAGCTGAATGCCGCTATGAAAGGTGCCGGAACTGACGAAGACACTCTCATCCGCACCATTGTGTGTCGCTCAGAGGTACATTACCACTTATCTATTCAAATCATCTTTCAAAAAATAAAATATTGATAATAAAACCTTACTGACCACATACTGTACTTTTGAATGGTAGTGCACTTCTGGTTCAGTTGTCAAACTGGAAATGAAAGGTCGAACGCATTGCATTGTGGGATATTTCACATGATACAAATGTAGCAGGTCCCTCCATAGACACTGATATTTAGCGTGAAGTGATGAATACTGTTCCGTTGTTACACAGAGGTCAGATTAGACCGTCTTATAAATCAGCCTGTAATGGACACTCTTCTGTTTGAATAGATCGATCTGGAGACCATTAAAGACATGTACCTGGAGAAATATGATGTGTCTCTAAAAGACGCCATCAGCTCGGAATGCGGCGGAGATTTCAAGCGCCTCCTGCTGGCCATCCTTCACTAAAAGAAACACAATCCGAGTGCTTACCATGGACCAAGGAGGTTTTCACTACAGTCACAATCAAGGCAAACTAACATGACTCATTTTGTGTCCTGTTGTCTATAAATATGTTTTATAAAGCTTAGTTTAAAGTGGAGAATTAGTAACACAGGCTTCAAGTACAATATGTTTAATATGAATGTTTTATTACACTGTGCAAATATGTATTTCGTAGATGCATAACACCACTCAAAAGTCATTTGTGTCCAGTTTCTGTGACATTCCTTATTCTTGAGGCATAATTGGCCAGTTGAATTTGTTTAAGTGGAGTCTTGTGGTTTCCAGGAGTATAAGATAACATTGTTACATTATGATGATTAGAAGTTGAGAAGTTCATACGTAAATAATACAAAGCCAGCATTTACATTTTCTGTTGAGTATTTTTCCACACTAAAACCTCACAGTTTTATCATTTCAAAATGTGCATGACAATGTGAAGTCTGAATATTTATGTGAATGACTTCGTGAAGCATAAATGCTCAAATTACAATGTAACATTTACGGTCTGCGAAACAATTGCCTATTTATGAGACTTCATTAATTTGTCCACTTGTGGTAAAATATCTGGATTATTGAAGCAACAGTTTTTACTCACCCAGTTAATATACTGTATGTTGTTGTAACGAACACAATACTAAAGTATTTCTATTATTAACATGGAGTAATTTTAATGTAACTTACAGTATATTTTAATATATCTGTAACACAAGAATACAGGCAGAGTTCTGCTGTCCTCCCAAAAAATTTCTTTTATCAGATTAATATGAAGAACTTTCACTATGCTGTGTAGGCCCATGTGTCAGTTGCATGGTATAAATGAGTTGCAGGACTTACTATTAGAAAAATGACTATTAAAGTTTGAATAAACATGAGATGGAATCTGGAGTAGTATGTTCTGTATTAATACAACTGTATTTCCCTAAAGTAATTAACTGAATAAAATAAAGCAGTTCAAAGTTTCTGGATGACTAGCATTATTATCGTGACATTTTCTCGTTATTCATTATTACTTAATTAAATGGGTACGTTTTTTTTTTTGTTCTGTAAATTTTCTGTAGCTTGTTTCTAATTGTAAGTCAGTTACCAAAGTTATAATTGATGATGTATAAATCTCAATTTCGAGAAATTGACCCTTATGACTGGTTTTGTGGTCCAGGGTCACAAGTAGCAAAATGATTGTAAGTATTAAGTTGATATTGGCTTTCTGAGACTTTCTGTTAGAAGTCTTTTCGATTAGGGTTGTTGGCTGTAAGTTTTTTTTTTTGTTTTTTTTTTTGAAATGCATAATATGATCCCCTCAAAAATATTTATTTGAGAAAAGTCATAAAAAGAAAAGACTATTGAAAATTAGATACTAAAAAGCAATGGACAAATAAATAAATAAATAATAACAAAAAGTAATATAAACTGAGTGAACATTGGTGAACATTGGTAAAGCTTTTAGCTTGAGGCATGTCAGTGGTTTCTTCCAAGAGGATCTGCCGCAGCAGCAGCGGCAGCGTAGCAGATCTATTCCGCCAAGACCAAATACATTAACATTGTCATGTACATTACCATGCTAATCCCTCCGAGAGTTGTTATGACAGAACTATTATTTTTTGTAGTATGAACAACAAAGAAATTACATGACATCTAAGTAAAAGTAAAGTAAAAACTATGATGATGCGGTGGTCTCTAGACCTTCTAGTGTCTCTGGATTCACCCATTTTCATTGAGACTAGTTCACCCTCAGGCCATCCAAGATGTAGATTAATTTTGTTTTTCATTAGTACAGATTTGTTCACCAATGGATCCTCTGCAGTGAATGGCTGCCGTCAGAATGAGAGTCCAAACAGCTGATAAAAACATCACAATAACCCACAAGTAATCCACACCACTCCATTCCAGTGAAAAGCTGCATGTTTGTAAGAAACAAATACATCATTAAAGCATTTTAACTTAAAACCGTCGCTTCAGGTAAAAAATACCAGACCATAATCCATATTAATGCTTCCTACAGTGAAATAGTCCATCCTACAACATATTTGTTTAGAAATGTTTTGGATGGTTTTCGCTCGTAAACAGTGCTTGATCTGTGCGTACTGTATTTTCTTCCTGATTCAGACAAGATAACTTTTTCACTGGAGAAAGTAATATTATGGATAGAGGACTTTTAGCCAGAAAAGCATCTTGATGGATTTGTTGGTTATAAACACACAGCTTTTCACTTCACAAGACATTAATTAATGGATTGAAGTTGTGTGGATTACTTTTGTTTTATTGGACTCTCATTCTGACGGCACCCATTCACTGCACAGGATCCATTGGTGAGCAAGTGATGCAATGCTAAATTCCTTTAATCTGTTGATGAAGAGTCAAACTCATCTACATCTTGAATGGCCCGATTTTTCAGCATATTTTCATTTTTGGGTGAACTATTCCTTCAAGTCATTACTGTATACAAACACAGATTGGGTGCATTGTGAACAAAGCCAAAATGCCTTGGAGTCTCTAATATTAGAGGTCCCAGTTTTGATTATTTGTATAGTAATGCTACGGTGCACACTGGTTAACACTTCCCATCTAACCCATAGTGAGGTGTGCTAAGAACCCTCAGCTATACTTTGCCCGGAAGCTGAATGCCGCTATGAAAGGTGCCGGAACTGACGAAGACACTCTCATCCGCACCATTGTGTGTCGCTCAGAGGTACATTACCACTTATCTATTCAAATCATCTTTCAAAAAATAAAATATTGATAATAAAACCTTACTGACCACATACTGTACTTTTGAATGGTAGTGCACTTCTGGTTCAGTTGTCAAACTGGAAATGAAAGGTCGAACGCATTGCATTGTGGGATATTTCACATGATACAAATGTAGCAGGTCCCTCCATAGACACTGATATTTAGCGTGAAGTGATGAATACTGTTCCGTTGTTACACAGAGGTCAGATTAGACCGTCTTATAAATCAGCCTGTAATGGACACTCTTCTGTTTGAATAGATCGATCTGGAGACCATTAAAGACATGTACCTGGAGAAATATGATGTGTCTCTAAAAGACGCCATCAGCTCGGAATGCGGCGGAGATTTCAAGCGCCTCCTGCTGGCCATCCTTCACTAAAAGAAACACAATCCGAGTGCTTACCATGGACCAAGGAGGTTTTCACTACAGTCACAATCAAGGCAAACTAACATGACTCATTTTGTGTCCTGTTGTCTATAAATATGTTTTATAAAGCTTAGTTTAAAGTGGAGAATTAGTAACACAGGCTTCAAGTACAATATGTTTAATATGAATGTTTTATTACACTGTGCAAATATGTATTTCGTAGATGCATAACACCACTCAAAAGTCATTTGTGTCCAGTTTCTGTGACATTCCTTATTCTTGAGGCATAATTGGCCAGTTGAATTTGTTTAAGTGGAGTCTTGTGGTTTCCAGGAGTATAAGATAACATTGTTACATTATGATGATTAGAAGTTGAGAAGTTCATACGTAAATAATACAAAGCCAGCATTTACATTTTCTGTTGAGTATTTTTCCACACTAAAACCTCACAGTTTTATCATTTCAAAATGTGCATGACAATGTGAAGTCTGAATATTTATGTGAATGACTTCGTGAAGCATAAATGCTCAAATTACAATGTAACATTTACGGTCTGCGAAACAATTGCCTATTTATGAGACTTCATTAATTTGTCCACTTGTGGTAAAATATCTGGATTATTGAAGCAACAGTTTTTACTCACCCAGTTAATATACTGTATGTTGTTGTAACGAACACAATACTAAAGTATTTCTATTATTAACATGGAGTAATTTTAATGTAACTTACAGTATATTTTAATATATCTGTAACACAAGAATACAGGCAGAGTTCTGCTGTCCTCCCAAAAAATTTCTTTTATCAGATTAATATGAAGAACTTTCACTATGCTGTGTAGGCCCATGTGTCAGTTGCATGGTATAAATGAGTTGCAGGACTTACTATTAGAAAAATGACTATTAAAGTTTGAATAAACATGAGATGGAATCTGGAGTAGTATGTTCTGTATTAATACAACTGTATTTCCCTAAAGTAATTAACTGAATAAAATAAAGCAGTTCAAAGTTTCTGGATGACTAGCATTATTATCGTGACATTTTCTCGTTATTCATTATTACTTAATTAAATGGGTACGTTTTTTTTTTTGTTCTGTAAATTTTCTGTAGCTTGTTTCTAATTGTAAGTCAGTTACCAAAGTTATAATTATCCAGTCTTAAGTCGCTGGGGTATATTTGTAGCAATAGCCAAAAATACATTGTATGGGTCAAAATTACCGATTTTTCTTTTATGCCAAAAATCATTAGGATATTAAGTAAAGATCATGTTCCATGAAGATATTTTGTAAATTTCCTACCGTAAATATATCAAAACTTAATTTTTGATTAGTAATATGCATTGCTAAGGACTTAATTTGGACAACTTTAAAGGCAATTTTCTCAGTATTTAGATTTTTTTGCACCCTCAGATTCCAGATTTTCAACAAACCGTACATCAATGGAAAGCTTATTTATTCAGCTTTCAGATGATGTATAAATCTCAATTTCGAGAAATTGACCCTTATGACTGGTTTTGTGGTCCAGGGTCACAAGTAGCAAAATGATTGTAAGTATTAAGTTGATATTGGCTTTCTGAGACTTTCTGTTAGAAGTCTTTTCGATTAGGGTTGTTGGCTGTAAGTTTTTTTTTTTGTTTTTTTTTTTGAAATGCATAATATGATCCCCTCAAAAATATTTATTTGAGAAAAGTCATAAAAAGAAAAGACTATTGAAAATTAGATACTAAAAAGCAATGGACAAATAAATAAATAAATAATAACAAAAAGTAATATAAACTGAGTGAACATTGGTAAAGCTTTTAGCTTGAGGCATGTCAGTGGTTTCTTCCAAGGGGACATAAATATTACATATTTAAGAATGTTTTAAAATAATGCAAAACAAGCATTAAAATAAGGTCAAACAAAACAAAATTTCTTATTGTAATTCACATTTGAACATTTCTTCTTTGGAAAAGAAATGTCATGGACATTTTTTTTTTTTTTTTAAATACAGTGGGTTTATGTAAAACACATTTTCTAGATATGCCAAGCTATAAATTATTAGCAATAAATATATTACTAATAAATTATTAGTAATATATTTAATTATATTTAAACTTAAAAAAAAATAGTTAAGGATACCTCTTAATATTTCTATAATTTTGAAGCTTAATTTAATTAGATAATTATTTGAGTTATTTCTTTTAATCCATGGACGCTTGTTTCTGTAAACTTAAAAAAGCATTAAAAATATTTCTCATTGCAGCAGATCAAAACAGCACCGTTTAAAAACACGTATAGGAAATTCAGAAGCGACCCAGCACAAGCATTGCTAAACAGCTTTTCTATGAATCTTTATTTGTTTTTGCATGAGTATGATAACATATCAGTGATAAAGTACCAATGCTGTGTCAAATAAAAAAATCTAATAAAAGGGCATTTGCATAAAATTTAAAGGGGTCATATGATGTTGCTAAAATGTCTGCAGCGTCAACAATACTACAGCGAGAATAAAAGTTACGCCTTCTTTCTTTGCGTGAACATTTGGGCGGCATTATGCAAATCTTCCCAGATCGTGACGTAAACATTTGGGGGCGTGTTAGAACGAGCCATTTTAGGTAGGCGAGGTTGACTCTTAACTTTTATAAAGAATATCTCTTTGGTTTTGAGACTTTAGTGTTTGCAACTTTACAGATCTTCTTTATGCACCAAGAGCTTGTAACACTCCAAAGAGAAAGGAAAAATTGAAATCGCATCATATGACCCCTTTAAGACATTTCAATCGTATAGTGAAGCCGATTCTTACATTTGAGATCGCATGTTGCTTGCGCAGTAAACGGTAGGTGGCGGTATATTTTTGTGGCGCTCCATCCTCTAGTCTAGTATCTCAAAGAAGAAGAACGACAAAGAGATCCTGTAAACGCTCGTGGATCTGTATACAGGTCAGCAAGTCGCTTCAAATAATTGTTCATTTTAGCTTAGTACATAAAGGTTAGTATGTATGTCATGTAGTATGAGCCTACGAACGCCTTGAGCATTTATGACATTGAAAGAAAGAAAGAAAGAAAGTTTAACCAACGGATTTTGTTCCCATGAATACAATGTTTGACCTAAAGTGCGAAAGCTCTTCAGGTGAAGAGGACGAGACGGAGGGAGGAGAGTCCAGTTTAACAGCACAGATAGCCAGATGTGCGAATGTATCATCAGCGGATTTAGACGAACTGGAGCACAACCGGAACGAATCTAGTACTGTAAAGCAAACAGTATGGGCTGTGAACTGTTTTAAAGCCTGGTTACGCGAAAAGCAGCTGACGATCGACTTTAAAACCGTCGAGAAGTCGGAGCTAAACCCGGTGCTTCGCGAGTTTTATGGCTCTATTCGGACGAGCAAAGGAGAGTTGTACGGCATCAGCAGCTACGTCGGGCTTCGAGCTGGATTGAATCGGTTCATCAATGAACCTCCGCTCAACCGTGTGTGGAATCTGATGCAGGACACAGAGTTTAGGGCCGCCAATAATGTTTTCAAAGGCGTCGTTAAGCAGATCCGACGCTCCGGTAGAAATATAACAGCACATTACCCCCCGATTTCACCTGAGGACCAGCACCTATTGAAGCATTCTCCTGCACTGGACCCTGGCAACCCGAAAGGCTTGCTAAATAAGGTCTGGTACGATATCCAGTTACATTTCGGACTCAGGGGTAAGGAGGGCAACCGACACCTGCAGCCAGACGCGTTTGCTCTGAACCGAGACCAAAACGGATTCAAATACTTCACGATGACATTACACGAGGACACGAAAAACATGCCGGAAAAGGACAAGAAAAACCGCAGGGCTATGTATGAAGAGCCCGGCAATCCGCTGTGCCCAGTCGCATCTCTGGAGAAATATCTGAGCAAAATTCCCGCCGACGCAAAAGCGCTGTATCTGCAGCCCAAAAGGACATATGTGATTGCCGATGAGATGTGGTATACACCACTTCCAATGGGAGTCAATTATCTGTCCCAAATGCTGCCCAAAATATGCAAAGAGGCCGGCACGAGAACGATATACACTAACCACAGTCTGAGGCTCACTGCGATTCAAAGACTGACTGAATCGAGGGAGATCATGGCGGTGTGTGTGAGGTATGTTTAGCCTGAAAACAAAGCAAAACGTTCAGAATGTAAACAATAGTGGGTAACCATAAAAAGTTAGTTTCTGGCCTAGAATGCTTATATTTCATATAACAGCATTGGGCCTGGAACGTCTCACTCTGCTTGTCTATTGTCGAGCCACAGTCGAAGCTTGGACTTATTTTGCTTATTTTTAAGCTAGTTTTACTTGAAAGGCAAAGATAAACAAAATAAAGGACTTCAAGAAATGATTCGACATTAAAAATGATAGTTCACTCAGAAATGAATATTCTGTCATCATTTACTCATCTTGTTGTTCGCTCGTTCTTCATTGGGACACAAAAGATTAACAATATTGTTCTGGACCCCATTGACTTTCATTGTGTGGACCACAGTTAAAACATTCTTCAAAATATCTGTTCATAAAACGGATAGTTCCGGTCCTTGATTCTGATTGGCTGAGCCACGTTCGAAGCTGTTGTAAATTACTCTACAAACATACACCTTTGTTTACGTTTGTGTGTTGCTTGGCAACCACTTTGTTGCAACCACAACCTGATTCTGAGAAACTACATTGTTTGGCGGACGAATAATGTTTTTATTAATATCATTACACTTTATTTGCTCTGTATTATTTGAGTCAGTCCTCGCTGCAGGCTGTAGTGCGATGACGTAGCTGGATCAGATCCAACACGTACTGGACGTTATCACGCGCATGCGCGGTGGTGTGTTTTGGCGACATCATAGACGCATGCGCAGTACGTCTTAAGTGACACGCACGCTCAATATTGTGTTGTGATGATGTTCTAACCTGTGTAGTAGTAGTACTGATGAATAGTAATAAGTAATTATTTACATAAATGTAATGCTTAAGTTACCCTAGTTTCTCTCTTCACACATGCAAAACAATTACAATTTTAAATTTTAAATCACACTTAAGAGTTTTTAAATCTAACTTTGATGGATTAATAGCATAATGTCATTGTCAAGTATTATTTTTTTAATGCGTGTATATAGAACATTTTAAAATAAAGCCATTTTATTCTATTCAGGTCATATTTGCTGTTGAGTGGAAGCAAACATGAGTCAAGTAATTGTCTCTGTAATTTTAATCCTAAAGGTACAATACAATTAGGTCTGTAAACAACGTAAAATACCAGTACACATTCAAGGGAAAATGCAAAAATAATAACAGCACCAAGAAAAGAAATCTTGTCCGATGTCAAAAAAAAAAAAAAAAAAGTGCTTAATGATATTTTGTCTGGTAGGAGTTCCTTCTTTAATGGCTATACTCATTTTTCTACAGTGATCTGTACATAAGGTTAATCTTAATTTGCTGTTCAGTGTCTGCAAAACATGTACGTACATAAAAAAACAAAACAATTTAAGTCTAATATACAAACTGATCACAGCAGTCAGATCAAGCAGTTGTCACTCAAGTGACCATTTATATTTAACTTTATAAATAGTTGTCCTTGGGGCTATAGTGATTGCCGTCACAGATGAAGCAGTCTGCTGAGCAGTAACCTTCAAACTCTTTGGTCGAGTAAAATGCACAAAGGATTCCTTTCCTTCCATCTCCAATATAGCCTGGCGGGAAGTCTTTAAATAAGTCCCCACAACAAAGGCAACTGGTCAGTTTATATGGCACTCGATACATCTCCTTGTAGTCACTTGAGTATGCACTCCAGTTGACAACACCTATTGTAAGAAAGAGATTTAAAGTAATAAAAAGTTCTGAGCAAAGCTTAAAATGCATTTGCAGTTTAAACGTAATGTGTAGAACTGTCTACTGGTAAAAATATAAAAATAATAAAATGAAATAACTTACTGTCAAGC